CAGCCAGATAATTTATGTTAATAAATAAAAAAAATTTTTGTTGTTGTAGCTCACTACTGTTCGAAAATTCTTCACTAAACAATTTTATATAAAAAGTAAAAGGTATTTTTTTTTGTATTTAGGAAAATTAAATCAAATAGTAAGATAAGATTTGATTTACTATAATCTGTTGAACATGAAAATATTTATTAAACGTAGAGGAGATATATTATTGCTTGTTTTATTGTTACCAGGTGTATGCATAAGTTTTTTGCCATTTTTTTTTCTTGTAATAAAAAAAAACAAGTTCTTTTTAAGAGAAACAAATTTTTTTTGTTCGCCTGACTTTCAGATAATTTATAAATATCACGCCAAACCATTTTCCAAGTAGTCAGATGGCACCAGGCCTGGAGATGTGAAAAAATGTTCAATCCAAGCGATTTCAAGTTGACTTGCACTGTTGTTGGTGTGTGAGACGGCAGTATTAAAAATCACTGCAATGTCTTTCGGCCCATTCCGGTCGTTTTCGATCAACGCGTAGTTCAAATTACTTTTTTGTAGGTTAGCGTTGTACATTAACGGTTTCGCTGGACTTTTTTTTTGTAATCCATTTATTTTATTACAATCTGTCAGGTATGAATGACAATAAGTAATATATATTAACATGAATCATAATAATAATAGTTATTACGATCTAAAAAAGAACGGCACGTATGGATTATGTCCAGTGATATATCCATATATATATTTAAAATAGAAGTGTGTGACCTACATATAAATATATAAAACGTCTCTCGATGTTTTTCTTTTTAGCCTTGTAAAATTGTTGGAGGGGGACATCAGGTGTGTAACCAGTGGGTTTGGATGCATAATTCGAGTTATTCTTCCTTGATTTTCGGAACGCGTAGTTGTTTATGCAGCTGTTCATTCGTTACATACCAAGGTGCATTTGTGATCATTCGTAGTGTTTTTGATTGAAAACGCTGAATAATTGCCAAGTTTGAGTTTGCTGCAGTACCTCATAATTGGGCTTTATAACTCCATATAGGTTTTAGTACAGTTTTGTATATAAGTAGCTGATTGTCTAGTGACAGTTTGGAATTCCGGCTGAGGAACCAAAATAAGTTTCGCAATTTGAGACCTAAGGCTTTACTCTTATTAAATATGTGTGGTTTCGAGGTTAGTTTACTATCTAGATGTATGCCCAAGTATTTTATTTCTACAGCTTGTGGTAATCGAGTATTGTTTATTAAGACAGGCGGCCACGTAGATCGTTTTGTAGTAAATGTTACTTTGACAGAATTTGACTCATTTGGTTTGATACGCTAATTTTTCATCCAAAGAGCAACATTGTTAAGGCAGGTTTGTAATTTGGTGGAAGCACGAATTGGGTCACTGTCAACTGATAAAATAGCTGTATCGTCTGCAAATGTACCGATAACATTCTCATCGGTAAGGGGAAGATCCGCAGTATATAGACGATAAAACATTGGTGCCATTATGCTACCTTGAGGTACTCCTGCTCCTATATCATGAAGTCCTGTAGTTTCGTTTCCATGCTTCATGAATTGCTGGACTTAAAGAGTTCAAAATACGTAATACCACTCTAGTCCCATCAGAGGTCTTCACCAAAGCAAGATTTTCTTGTCGAAACGATTGGCCTTTGTGTTGAAGGGATCGGTTTTAGTAGGTGAAGCCATGATTTCTTTTCGCTTTGGGCTTCAAAATCCAAATCAATATTTTGTCACCTGTCACAAATTGGAATAAGGAAATGATTGTCTTTCGTGGAGTTAAAGGAACATTTTACAAGTCATTTTGTGATTTTCCATTTGACTATCATTAAAATTGTGTGGGACCCATTTAACCAGTTTATAGATCTTCCCCTTTGCTCATTAATATCATTGATTGGTTCTTGTGACACGCTTAATGTTTTTGATGTGGTTTAATATCAGATGAACAAATTGACATATATGTCGAATTAATACGCTGCGTACTTTTCGGTGGCGCCATCTTATTGTTAAACCAGAAAAATTTATGATTTCACCTGGTATATGAAATTAATTCCTCATGAAATATATTTTATGTTAAATTTGATTTTAAAATCAATTACGAAAAATCAATTGTTTTAATACAGAGGTTTTTTCGACAATACTAAATCACAACAACAAAATTATATTATTTTTAATTAATTGCGTTTTTGTCTAAACATGCAGCGTTTCGAGTATTCCCAAATACTTAACATCAGTGGTCTTTTTGGATGTATTTTTTATAAAGAAAATTTTCCAAATACTAACTCAAAATTAATATAACAACTACGAATTAAAATTATTCAATAAAAAAAAGGTTAATTTTTTGTATTTAGTTTTATGAAGTATACAATTAATTATATATAAGGATTTTATAGCCATTTTCAACGATAAAAGACTTAATTTACCTTCACTGAAGTTGCAAAACGAAGCAAATTTTCAAATCGTCCAATGCTTTGTATTTATTACATTTAAATAATTACTTATGTCGTTAAATGAAATAAATAATTTGCAATAAGCTTACAATATTGAATCATAGTCGTATGAAGTTAAAAAGCTTATAGGTATTCGAAAATAAGATTCAATTCCATTATCTTAACTCAATCAGAGCTTAGAGTGATGAAATTATGAACACCGAAATAACAAAGTTAAATTGTAAATTAAACAGAAAGTGAAAGGTGAAAGTGAATCACTTTTAGGAAGAGTTCACAATAGTCTTATTTATTACAGTCTAATAATTACTTAGGTATGGATTAAAATTAAACCTCAGGTTTGGTGTGGAACTTCATGACGGCATGTATGCAACTTGCCAACAATTTTTTAATTTCTGGTTAAACTTTGCATTTTGCATTACGAGAAATTTTAATCTAAAAATATAATATTAAATTGCTTAATATAATTCTATTCTAAAATATATTAATATTATTTGTGCGTTCTTTGGTGCTTAAATAAATAGTTTTGTATATTAGAACATATAAAATAAAGTAAAAAAAAATAAAAAAATCTTCAACATCAATTAATTAAGTAATTAAATCAGACATTGAAAATGTCCTCATTACAAAGTAGACCTAGTTGTGGATACATAATTTTATGTTTCAATTAAATACAATTTAAAACTATTTCTGTAGTAATGTTTTTTACTTCATTTAACCCCAATGGTCAAATGTATATTTATAAATATTCTTTAACTATTCCATAAACTAGTTATAGAAATAAGCAAACAAAAAGTACAATATCTCAAGATTTTTTACTAGAGCAATTAAGTCATACTTTATATAAATTGTACTACAAATTTGAATTAATATCGTTATAATGGATTAATCCTCTTGAATGGCTCATTCTTGCATACAAAATTTCAAGCGCGAATATGATCCATTTCATCACATTCTGTATGAATGCGTCCCAACGACGTTCGAATGCGTTCCAAATATGTCCAAATACAAAGGAATACATTGAACATACCCTAAATAAAACCTCTTCATGGCATTTTGACAGTTTGAGAAAGCTGGTTTTAACATATTTACAAAAAAGGTAGACAAAAGTTTGGTGATTGCATTTTCTTGAAAACGATGCATCTCTTTTTAGAACTTCTACTTCCCAAAAAGTATTTAATCGAAGTTAAAAATATGTTTTCAGTATATATTTTAAGGTTTGAAAGTATATTTAACCTTCATGCAATATTTTTTTGGCACAGACCAAAAATCAAATCAACAGACACTTTGAAAAATCAGCTGTTTGAAATGGGAACAAATGAATTACAACGAATGTAAACACTCTCAAATGGCACATTCAAAATGAGCCATTTCAGCCAGTGTAAACGCTATATCAGATAGATTTAAAATTATGATCTGAACAACCTTTGAGTAAAAAGCTTTATTTGTAAGCTCAGGGTATTTGAATATAAAAGTAAGAGCATTGCTCACTTAGTATAGAATTTTGTTATGAATTTTATGAACGGAACACATGAGATATCACTACTAGTAGCTTAAATAAATATCTTTTTAAAATAAACTAAACCGGCTTGCATTTATTAATTTGAATATGTATATGTGGGTATTTTTAATTAACTTAAATTTTATATTGAAATTTTATTTGAGCTGCGTTAATAATTATTTAAAATGTCTTATGACAGTAACAAGAATTTTATGAAAATTCTGACCTAACTACACCAAAATCCATTCTCTCCATGATGACACTGTATAAACTAGAACATAGAAAGCTAGAAATAGAAGAAGTTAGAAGTGGAATTCGCTATAAGGGCACCAGTACTTCACTAAGAGAATTCAGGTTAACGCCACTAGTGTCAGTTGGCTTTAAAGACAATAATAATAATGTCAGAATAATAATAAGAAGAATAAATAATAAAAAAAAATATAAAACTGAACTACAAGTCTTTTCCTTACACAAGAAATTGTAATTGCTATAGGTTATTGTAAACGATCCCACATACCTCAGCAACATATATAACAATCAAGGGCGTTTCATAAAAAATGTTAAATTGTAAACATTTTCAATGACAAAAAGTGTCAATTAATAGCTCAACAAAAAAAAAACGAATAAATAATTTTACAAATGTGCCAGCTAACAGTACTAAAAAAATAGGGGAATAATTTTCTAGCATGAATAATTTTCAACAATTAAGAAATTTCTCTGTACTGTAGAAATATTTCCAGTATTAAAATTTAAAATCAACAGTTCAGTTATAAAATTATTTTAATTTATTCAAAGAATTTCCAATGCGACCTAATCTTAATTAAGAAATTCATGCAAAAAAGTATTTAATATCGTGTTTAAATTCCTTGCCTTTGTTATATTCCTTGTGGTATCTTTTTAACGCGATAAACAATTTGTGTTTTTTAAAATTTTATAATTGAATTAAATTCGAAAATTTATTTTCATTTGAGTTACACTACATTTAAGTTCACTAATTAGTATTCATAATTTTAATATTTTTATATTAATACTTTTTTGATAAAAACTTACTTCCTATGATAAAGCACATTCGTGACTATTTGAACTACTAAAATATAATATTTATGTTTATTGTGTAAATTTGTGAAATTATCAATGTATGTTTATTGAGTATCAGTAAAGTTTCTGTTTTTTCTTCATGGTTTCATATGCATTTTCAAACATATCCACTCGATTCCAGTTTAAGTGCGGCCTCATAAGTTGGTAGCCCAGTTTTATCAATAATTTTACTCATATCCAAACGCACGATGCCATTCTCATTAATTGAATCCAAATTTAGCTCCAAATTATCTGTATGAACATTTTCAGCTGTTGTTGTTGGGGTGTCTGTATTTAATGTTGTAGTAGTTCGACTAGTTGCAGCTGGTACAACTGCCGGTTCTAGAGACGCATTGGCATTAGTATCTAAATCTGTGTTCATCATGCTAAAGTCATTTTGATTTTCAGTTGAATTTGCGTTATTGTGTGTAGCAGCGGTATCGTTTTCATTGTTGTTGCCATTTACATCAACAGTTGCTGTTGTTTGCTCATTATTTGTTGCAATTTTAGCTACAGCTGCTATTGTTGTTGGTGCTAATGTTGTTGATGGTATGCTTTGCTCAGGTTTAAAGAAAATTTCGTTGCTTACATTTAAAGGTAGTGAGGTTGTTCCTGTATTATTTTGTTCGGTGGTCACTTCTTCATTTTCAGATTTTGTTAAAAAAACATTGTTGTAATTGTTGTTAGCATTATGAAAAATGGTGCATGCACTACAATTGTTATCACCGACAGCATTATTTCCATTTGCTTTTAAGTTTTCCACATCCCATACAGCTATATTGCCACAAGTTGTTGGATTATCTAATCCACTTTCAGTTGACAACGAAAACGTGTCGTCTACTTCATAGCAAAACTTGCCACACAATGGACAACCGCGTTGATAGTAATTATGCGGTTGCAGGTAACGTCGACTGATTTCGTTCACGCTCAATTTCGCACCACCATAAGAGGAGGGTAGAGATTTTCTCGCCCTTAAAATTGTTGGCGTTGTTACGGCCATTGCTTGTTCATTAGTTGTATTGGCATTACTTGTACTGGCTGATGTAGTTGTTGTAGTATGTGCTGCTCTTGCGACTACTGCTGCAGCAGCTGCGTGCCACATGTTCTCCACTTCTGCACGTTGCAACGAGCAACAAGATTGTGCAGTGAATCCTTTTTTAATATTCAAAATTGCATTTCCGCCTGTATTAACGGAAACTTTATTGTCGTTGTTGTTGTTGTTGTTAGTAAATTGTTTACGTTGGACATATATATTTCCACTGCTGGTAGTGTTGCTTAAGTTGCCATTACCATCGCTAGCTGTGTCCATACCATCAGGTGCACCTCGATTACACGATAATATTGATGTGGACGCTATGCCACTTACATCGAGAGATGAACGATAACCAGGAGGAGGTGAATTGCGTTGAATTTGCATTTGCATTTGTTGTTGTTGTTGTTGATGATGCAGCAACAATAAATGTTGCTGTTGTTGTTGCTGTAATAGTTGTTGCTCCTGCATAGCCACAACTGAATCATAGGATGGTGGTGGTTCATGATGTAGCGTTGGAAATGTAGACAAACCATCTGAAGACTCTCCCAAAAATAAGCCAGATGTTTCATAGCACTTTAAAGAGAAAAATTAAAAAAATTATTATGACAGTTAATGTTAATATGAATTTTGTATAATTTACTAATACCAATTATAGATAGAACATAAACAAAAAATACTAATAGTCAATGTCTAATATGCTTCTGGTAATGAGATATAATTCTTACTTTGAAAATTGTCTATGTATGAATTTATTACGTATGAAAAACATGATATATTGAATTTTTATATATTTTGATGATGTGAAAATTTTTAAAATTATGTTTTAATTGTTTTTATCAAATGAATTTTTATCAGTTATAGAAGAACACAAGTTTCCTAAGCTTATAGCATATACCATCTGCTCGATCTGACTTTCCTTTTTGTTAAACATTTAAATATGTTATAATTCTATAAATTTATAAAAAATTAAATATATATGTTTATGTAATTATAACTTCAACGAAACTTAAATTTATTACTTATGCTTTTATTTTACTTAATAATTTAAATTAATTTTGAAATTAGGAATATTTGATATAACACTTTAAAAAAATTATTAATTTATCTTTATTATAAATTTAATATTAACATTTACCTATTTATATTTATTTATTTTTTATTTCTTATCATTCGCAATTTATTTAATATAACATGCAAATACTGGAAGGTAAATATAACACGTATACTGAATAGAACCATAATATAAAAATAAAAATACAATATGTTCTGGATAATTCGGATTATCACATATAATTATCTTATCACGTTTCTTCGTTGTAATCTCTCTAATCTAGATAAAGCGAAAAAATATGTCATTGATCCGAACAAAAAATTGTTACTTTTTATTTAATTATATTTTCGTGTTGTCTATTTAATACATATATCAACAATTTTATCAAAATTTTTGTATATCAAAGATATTATATATATAGGCTTTTGTGTATGTATTATATGAGATTTAATTCAACCTCTCACATAAATAGGCATAATAAATTTATTCAGTGACTATTCAGTGACTATTTTTTAGTTTTTAGTCATATCATATTAATTAGAATTGTCTAGAATATCCAGACCCTATGCTCCACTGAGAGTTAATAGAACAAAGAAGAAGAAAAATATTGAGAGAATGCTCTATTTATATTTTTAATCACTTTATACATTTTAAAATTTTATTCCTAAATACTTTCAATCAATTTTATAGAATTATTATTATTAAAACTATTGTCGTGATCTCGCCCAACAGCCGGTACTGTGGCCAGAAGAGGAGTCCCATTGTACCAATTTCACTATTAATTACACAAAGCCCTTTACAACCCTTTCTTTTTTCTTTATCTTATTGCCTACGTTCTACTACCTGTTCTTACTCAGTCTTCCTTTCTTATATATTTTTCTTTATCTTTTGCTTTCATCTAATTACACTATATTTTTTCTACTGTTCCGTTTGTATTTTACTATCCTTTCTTTTTATCGTTTTATCAGTTTTTTTATTATCAAAATCAATCTTGATTCTTTTTATGTTTATGCATACAGTCCTACAGATGACATATGAGTCTTCATTCGAAGAGTTGAGTGTCTTTTATTATGTTCACTGGGTTTGATCTATCATGGTCGAAATCTCTTAAAATAATAGTTTGATTATCAAATGGAGTTATTTTTTTACACAGTATTTCGTACAGAAAAGATCACTCAGTGTCAATTCTTTACAAAAATGTAAAAAAAAAATTATCACTATCGCACATATGTTACCATTACTGATAATACGAATAATATAAATATTAAATTATATTGATGGTATTTTACTGTTGGTATAAACCATATCATATAGAATTTATCCATTTTAAAAGTGCATTTTTTGAAGTTTGAATTAAGTCATGATATTTTTAACATTGTCTTAAACTAAACGTGTTATCAAAATAATAATAAAATTGAGCTTTCTTTGGAATGGAATTATTGTAGATATTATATTTCTTTGGAATTATATTATATTTATGTATTGATAAAATGTGAAAAAATAATATCTTTATCTTCTTATTATAATATTTGCAAATTCGCACACAATTAACTTCCGTAACAAACTGACACATATTTGCACAGCACAATTATTTACTTTAGTAAAAAAAATAAGAGATAAGGCAGGCAGCAAATGTTTATGAATGAAAATAAAATAAAATAAATCACATAAAAAGGAATTTATTTAACCCCAATTTAACGCATCACTGACTAAAACTTCATGGATGACAAGTGAAGACATTTCTGACGCGACATTTGAGATTTACAACACTTCCCGAGGGAAGGAAACAACAATAAAAGCTTTGAGCTAAGGAAGATATTCTATAGGAAAAAATAAAAATAAAAATAAAAAACAGAAAAACTGAAAACGTGTTCAGTAGACTTTTTATTTGTGGTACATCCTGTCACGCCGCAGGAATACAGAAACCATTTTGCATTTTAATTTCGCACCTACTAAATGCCACATAAATTTTAATTAAGCCAACTTAAAAACTGTTCAAACCGATGATGAGGACGACTACGACTACGACTACGATGACGATGACGACGACTACTTACTCCTCTTTTTCAAATGTCGTCGAGGCGGGTCATAATAATTTGTGTGTTGCTCTTAAGCAGCACAATATTACTACGTTATTGCGGTCAGAGTTTAGTAGTAAAAATGTCATTTCTCTCGAAATTGAACGTAAACTTAGGAATAGTTTTATGACTTCAATGTTGCCACTTCGGGCAAATTTAACAAATTTACCAAATATACCAAAATTAACATTTAAGTTTATTGTTATTGGTGAAATTTCTTTTATGTCTTTAAAGTAACAATAATTGGCAAGTTTAAACTAATTAGGTGGTTCAAAGTAGTAATAGTTTATAAATTGTTTGCGTTTTAACTTTTAAGTTATCTGAAGTCCAAAAAGGTACAATAAAAAAATTTATATAAAAATTATAAGTACATTTACTGGCTGTATATTCACTTCATTAATAAATATTTGTCTTCAGTATTTCAATGAAAAAAAAAAAAAAAAACAAAACAAAACAAACTTGAAATTCGTAATTTGCATAATTAATAATGTGAAATTGTTTTCGGTTTAACTTGCGAAAGCGCCTATTAATTATATTCGTAATTTATTTACTTAAAGAACATTTTTGCATTGCTTGCACTTAATTTTGAGTTTGTTAAAAATATTATTTAAAATTAAGTACGTGATAAATTGTTAAATTACCTTATTGATTTATGAGCCCAAAAATTTTTTTTCTAGCTGTGCCTGCTAATGAGTGTCTGAATATATAAAGTATTGGGTTACATGCACACATGACTGAACGCTGAAATATTTTGTTACATTTAACTAATTCTTAAAATAATTATTTAATTCAATGTGTGCTTTATTACTGTAATTATTATTGTTATAAATAAATTTAATAAAAGCTAATCGAAATATTATTCTATTAAAATTGTTATTTCACGTTGAATATCTCTTATATATCTTTCATAATTTGTTAGGGAAAGAAATGTGCATATTTTATAAAAAATTATAGTTTTATACCTAAATGAATTAAATTAATTGTCTATATAATGTTTTCATGTTATTTTGATATAAAAAATAGTGATTATTGTTCATCGATAATAACAAATAATTTTCCTGATATGTTAGTGAAGAAATAAACTTGATTACAGTAAATTGTTAAATTGTTTGCAAAATTAATATGAACGTTATTATTATTGAGTACAGTTACTGAATCGTTTACTTCTATATTAAAGTTCAGAGACATATATAACAATAATATGAGTTTTTCTCACTCTAAATGAGTTATGCCTAACCTATGGAAAATAAGCAGCAACCAATGATATTGCTTAAGAAGTCAAAGTTCTAAAAAACCGTTTTGAAATCCATTATGGAAGAAGTTTATGCCTACATAAAAGCACAAAGTAATCGAGAATATGTACAATGTACATTGTACATTATTATAAATATACGATAAAAATTACATATATAATATATATTTATATATATAATATATTTTTATAATATATACAATATATATATAATATATATATATATCATAAGTATATCATAAGTAAAAATGGAGTAAGTAAAAATAGCTAAAGAATTGGAGTAAAGAATAAAGCTACCTGATAGCTTAATAGGTTGTTTTGATTTGTTACAAAATCTTTTTGAAAATAAGAATATAAATTCAAGGTGAAATCGGGGTATTCACTTTTAAAAATAGTCAATTATAGTCAAATGGCCAAAATTTTATTATGAATTAACATAAATTAATAACTTGTATTTTTCCAATACTATTGCACTTGGTTGCAATAATCTATTCAATTGAACGTAACGTTCAGATCAACAGCAATTTAAATTGAAATTGTAAAACGTGGCATAATGGCATAATCATTTGTTAAATTTGGATAGTCCGTACATAAAAAAACTAATATTAATCATTTTTCTAAGCATATGTTAAGCCTGGCACTTGCAGCCTAAACAAATTATATACGGACTATAAACAAATTAAGAAAATTTAAATATTTCCTAAGACCATTGATGATGAGTACTTGGCAATACTCGAAACAGCGTTGTATGGTTAGTCAAATTTCAATAAATTAAATAAATTTTTAATAAATCAGTTTTTAGCATAAAATAGTAGAGCATTTCATAAAATATATGACCAATTTTTACAAAGCGATTAGTGTGGCTGAATCAAGAGTACAATCTAGAACTGTATTAAGTAAAGAAGGAAAAGAACTCAAATAAAAAAAATGCATTTGCTAGCAACTGCACCAATTCGTAGTCGTAATAGAAGCTGACTGAAGAAAAGATGGATCAGTGATGTAGTAGGTGGCCATAATAAAATAGGTTTGAGTGAGATTAAAGCAGTAGCATCCGGTCTAGAAAGACTGTAGACATTGATTCTATTGCAATACCAATACAAAAAAAAAGGTCTAGTTAAATTTGTTATTATTTATTATTAATATAACTGAATTTTTTTTTAGATGTTCTTAGATGATGTATATTTTCAAAAAAAAAAAACTTGTGCATGAAATTTAATTTCATTCCTTATTTTTATATATAAAAAATATGCACAATATAAACCTGAATCATTGTATTTTGATCTGAAATAAGTTTAATGGATTCAATCAAATTTTAATTAGTTTTTTTATTTCCACTAAATATTCTTCAAAAGAAAGTTTCGGTTATTTATTTATTTATAAATAATTTATTTTTATTTATATATTTATAGAATATTATAGAATAAATAAAATATTCTATAATATTTTAATAATAATAAAAATAAAAACCGGAGGTATATTAAAAATATCGGATAACAACACATATCGAACATATAAAGTTCGTCATTCTGTTAATCAGTTTATTTAACATATATAATATAAATAAAAATATAACTTAAATTTCTCAATTAAAGAATTATGTACTCGCTTTATAAATTTCTTAAATTACATTTTGGTTACACCCTTAATTTTACTAGATCTATATTTTTCTAATACTATTAGGGACATTACTTAGATACGTCATTCAAAAAAAAATAAATAAATAAATGTGTCTACTTATATTCACATTGTTTGCGGGTATTATATTCATTTACATATAATCACTTGCTAATGTTAATGCTAAGTTTACCTGCTCCACACTGTATATTTCCATGTTGGGGTCATTTTCCAGCCATTGATGTTGTTGTCTGTATGCGGCCTCCGTTCTTTTTTTTATATTACGATGGCAACAATAGCAAACAACGCATAGTATTGTTGTTACCAGGGAAAGCATGGCACTGTAAAGAAAAAATAACAAAAAACTCATTTAATTCGATTAAAAACAAAAACAAAATTTTTTTTTGGTATCTAAAAGGATATTAACTGAATACATTGCAAACTTTTTTTTTTAATATATTAAATCATTTTTTAATAACATTGTTAACGATTTATTTGAATAATACATTTTATGGATTCCATGGTAAATGGTCGTTCGCATTAATTTTTATTTTAATATTATGAATTATATATTTTAGATAAATATTTCTGTATTTCAATAGTAGGTATTCACAAAAGTTGATACGTTGCCCAACCCATCTCTAACAAACTTTAAGTCCACCTCAGGACGCACAGGAAGATATGCTGATCTACGGTCCGTCATCAGTTAGTAAATAAATAAATGATAATGATTCTAGTATAGTTAAAGTTTAGTGTGGGGCAGGGATAAGTTCCCCAGCCACAATAGAGTAAAAGTGCGCAATAGCACTAACTCAAATCACAACAACAACAACAACAATAGTAGGTATATTAATTTTTAATTTTGAATATACAGATTTCGATAATTAGCATCAGATATTATTAATAAGAGTATAATGGACTACAATATGCCAAAAGAATTAAATTTATAAAGTACTTTCTAAAGTAAACTGCATTTAAAAAAAAGTAAATTTTGTCTAATATAGTCTTCTATTCTATAAACGTGAAGTATATAGATGGCCAATAATAAATTCCAAAACTAACACAAATATCATTTTTATAAAAAGTCCTTACACTTTAAATTTGGATACTTCATAAATACATTTTGTAAAGTTTGGCAACGGTTTTTATATTCTGTATATTTTTTCTTGACCCTCTTATATTATTATTTCAATAAGAGGGTAAAAGAATTTATTGCTTGTAAATAGATATACAATTAACACAAATGATTAATTATATTTCACGTACAATTGAAATGAAACATATCTTAATAATAATTTTTTTGTTTTTATTTCATTATACACGGAAGACGACTGTCAAAAATTCGGTTGGCTGACTATAAAAAAATTAATAAAAATGATTTTATTCTATAACTTCTTAATGATAATTCTTCATTATTTAAATTTTTTTAAAATAGTGTCCATTAATTTATATACATTATCTAAAACAGTCTTCAAAAACGAATATTTTTAGGTTTCCAACTTCGACATGAATTGCACTTTTTATTATTGCCGAAGATCCTTTTTATCAAATTTATTTTAATTTTTGGAAATACCCAACAAGTTTTTAGACTTATGTTAAGCAGTTTTCAGGATATGATTTAGCTGTTACCCTCTGTTTACCCTCTAGAGGAATAACTGATACTTTGCCAAATTGGTTGATTTTTTTTTCACTTGTGAAAAGCTTATTTTGCGTTGCCAACTCGGTTTTGTAAGTCTCTTTATATGATCTATGATTATTCTATTAAACAACAAATATGGTGTGTACTGTGTTTTAGATTATTATATAAAGTTCGAATTTTTTATATATACATTGTATATATGACAATTTATAAATCCTCTCAATTTTATCTTTAAGCATGTTATCATATTTTTAATAAAGATTTTTAATGAAATTTCCAAAAAAGTCAAACTAAACTTATAATTGAAATATCTATTTTTGTTTTAATGTTACAAGATTTTTGGACATACAAAACTCATAACACTTGACAAAAACAGTCTGACCTTAGCGTATTTTAAATATACTCCTTAAATGCCAAATTATGTTATGTTGCAAAAATTAACTGAAATAATTATTTTTTGTTTTTTGTTTTAATATTTAAATTTTATATAAATTACCTATTATATTCTATTTTTAGCAAATATTAAAACTAATTCCATACATTTTTCACAATTTTCGGCCAATGAAATCATTGTTACTCATACGACATGTTGCCTTGTAAATACAAGACATAAAACACAGTAAAAATGTTAATATTGAAAGCAGCGAACATTAAGACATTTTATTATTTTTTGACAACTTAATGAGCAATTATTAAGGACATTGTGGAAGGACAAGAGCACACATGTTTGAGTGTGCTGATAAAGTTTTACGATATGTATATTGGGGTATTTGTGTACATTTTCTACCTGTTCAAATTTTCCTGTAGTTTTTTGCTATCTCATAATAATAATTGTTTTCTAGGTATATAATGAGATTGTTTATTACATTGTTGTACAAAATGATGTATTTTTATAAATCAAAATGACGTAGGACGTATGCATGCATTTAGTATGTGCTGCTTTTAATGAGATGGGGAGGACATAGTTCTATTTCTGTTATCCCACCCAAAACACAAACATATAACTTTTATTATACAAAATATTGTGTTCTAATGAATAAATGAATGCGGAAATCTTCTACGTTAGGTTGGTAATGATGACTATGATGGGAACAATAGAAATGATAAGTGGTTTTGTTTGGAGAATATATTAAAAAAATAATTGGATTTATTTGTTTGTATTGAATTTCAATTATATGTACATACATATTTTATTAAGACCATAATAATAATAGTTAATATGAACAATAGCAATTATATACATTGAACTAATATAGTTACAAAGTCCAAACGTTTTTGCCTCAATAAAAGTACTTAAATGGTCTTAGCATTTACAAAGCCTTTAGATTTTATGAATTTCGAGAAACTGTTGTTAGATTAAAGAAATAAAATTTTACTCTGAATAAGACGAAATATACATTTCAGAACGTTAGAGATAATTAATAATTATATAAAATAAATTAAAAAAATTAACACATGTTTCCATAACCATTGATCAACGCATATATATAATACTCTTAGAAAAGTGAGTACCGAAATATTCTAATTTAGTGAAATGGTTATGTTTCCATAACCATTGATCAACACATATATATAATACTCTTAGAAAAGTGAGTACCGAAATATTCTAATTTAGTGAAATGAAAAGTGCAAATAAAAACAGAAATCCAGTTTAATTATTCACGTAAATACAGAATATTAAAGAAAATTTTAAATGAAATAACGTTTATTAATAAAACTGCGATTTTTATTTCAATACTTTTTTATAATTTTAAATTTTATGTTATTATTTTATAAAGAGGTTTTCGAAAAGTAATGAACTACAACAACAAATATTATTTTTATATTATTTTAATTAATTGAATAGAACTTGTGCCTTGCAAAATTTGAAGCTCAGAGTCAGCACTCCCCAACCAACTGATCCCAATTTCTTTTAATTTGCTGTGAAAGTTTTATTAACAAATTCACTTGCTATCTTTATATAAGAACGAAAGATAGCATTTTGTTAATTTGTTTTGTTAATTTGCTGTGAAAGTTTTATTAACAAATTCACTTACTATCTTTATATAAGAACGAAATCATAAATCAGCTGTAAAATAATTAAATTAAATAATTAAATTTTTAATTTTTATTTTAATTGTTAAATTTCAATACTATTCTGTTTGATTTCTGTATTCTTTCTTATGCATACTGTTTAATAGTATATTTTATAATGAAAACATAAGATCTTAATCGTTCTATTGAACTATAGTTAAAGTTCAATAATTTTTTAATAAAATAACTTACTTAGCTATATTTCAAAATTGTAAACTTTTTTGTATTTTGCGGTTTTTAGAAATCAGTGGAAAATTCCTTTAAACATATTGATTCATCATTATTAGGGTTTGTTTTAATTACTAAAATATTAGCTTTATTAAAACATGTATTTGTTAAATGTTCCATTAATTTTCTTTTTCCTATAAATTATAAGGAAATGTTTATTAAGTTCTTTGACATAATGGACGAGTTTACATACTTTGCTATTCCTAAATGTTGTTTATATGACTTCACCATGTTCTTGCGTGCATTTCGAATATTTATGCTCGATTTAAACTTTAACATTAAGGATTATTCATTTTAAATGCAAAAAGGAGCTGCCCGTTTTTTACACGTCACGGAACTCAGCAATAATTTTTTATTTTTATAGTTTTTTTACATAGATTTATGAAAAAAAACAGTATAAAAAATCCTTGAAGTCAAATTTGTAGTAGAAGTGTAATAGTTTAAAAAAAATTGAAGAAATCGAAAAAAGTATATAAATAAATTAAAAAATATATAATTTGCAAGAGTCTTCCTTTCATTTCAATTGTAAATGTAAAAGTTTACTAAGAAGTTATGCAAAAAGTGAGTTCTTACGTTAAGATTGTTTTTAATTTCACTTGTAATTTGGCGCTTATTTATGGTTTTTAAAACCAGTGAAAGGAAGAAAGTATAAAATGAAAGAATAGAAATTACAAATTTACCACTTAATTTGATCTATGTTTCTATTATTTCTGCAATAAATTTTAAGCTAGCATTTTAAATGAATTTTTGAAGAATTTTTTTCCAACTTCTAACTCTCTCCTATCTTCCCATCTACTAAGTTGCAAAAGTATTTGATTTCGCATTTTGCTTCTGCACTGTGCTGAGTGCCTTTGGAGCAAATGCAAATATCCTTATGAAATTTAATTTTAAGTTTTTGACATAATACACATTAATCTACATAATAAAGTAAGGATATGTTAAATTTCAAGTGTTAAATTCATTATGAATAATTGTAAGTTCACAGGATTAAAACCATTATTTTTTAAAATAAAAATAATTTTCAAACGAAAATTATGCGCATAATAAGAAGATAAACCTCAACTACATTGTACGTTGTTACCATCGCCTTTGGCTGCCTATGTTACTGTAGTATTTTTTATATTTTATATAATTTTTTTTTTAAATTATGGTTTTATTCAAAATTAAAAAAAATTAAAATAAAAAGCAAAATGTGATGACAGAGTCTATTGTGCAGTAAGGAAAATTTTGTTGTACAGTATCTATATATGCTTCGAAAGACAGGTATGTTCGAAATTACATTACAGATCAGAACATTTAATTTGTCAACAGTTTCAGTTATGAAATTGTAATAAATTTGCTGTACTGTATCTATATATGCCTCGAAAGACAGATATGTTCAAAATTACATTACAGATCAGAACATTTAATTTGTTGACAGTTTCAGTTATGAAATTGTAATAAATTTGTTGTGCAGTATCTATATATGCTTTGAAAAACAGGTATGTTCAAAATTATATAACGGATCAGAGCATTTAATTTGTCAACAGTTTCAGTTATGAAATTATGAAATAAATGGTTATTCTTTTATTATGAATAATATCCTTTAATTAAAGCTAAAGAAATTATGATTAGCATCGATAGCACCGCAGTCGAATTGGACGTGTTTCTTTTGTTTCTTATTTAATTTAATACATATATGTCGATTAATTATCTAGCCGTAACATTTAAAAAAATATGTATATGTTCTTTTGTTAAAACTCTGGATTGTATTAATTTAATTAAAAACAAAATCCACAGTAAATGAAACCGAAGAAAAACAAGTTACATATAAGTAACTAATAAAGTGATAAAATTATTACACCACAGAGTTAATGAGATATTATATCTGATAACTTTTAGATCGGTACTTTTAGATAACGATAACTAATTCTTAAAATTTTATAAAAAATAAAAAGGACTTTTATATAGCACGTTTAGAACTTCACAGCGAGGGAATTAAAAATGTAGTTTGCATATTTATAATAGATAGTTAGTTTATCAATTTAGTACCATTGAGTATTGTTGTACCTTAGAAATGAACAGCGTACCAGCTCCCAACAGAGCGGAGCACTACGACTATATTTGACCTTTTATGCTAAATTGTAATGCCTTACATAATTCGAGACTTAATGTGCTACAAAATGTTCTACGAAAAGCAAGTATTATCTTAACAAAACCATCTGTATAAAATAGTTTCTATCTGTCTATACCATATATAGAAACACTTCAAATTTTTATAATTTTAATTATAAACTCTTCCATCAAGGTGCCTTTCGGTTTTGTTAATTATCATGCACAACTTCTTGGTGTATATATTTTGTGATGTATATAATCTTCAGGACTGTCTTAATCTTAAATATGTTATAATTTGTTTATAATCAACTTTTCAAATAATAATTAATAACAAATAAAAATCTAAAGCTGTTGTTTTTTATCAACCATAGTACATACATATATACCACCTATCAATACAAATATCAAATATGATGTGCTTGAAAGTAATAAAAAAATGTGCTTTATTTGGTCTATTGCAAAAAAGCGTTTAGTTTACAAAAGTTAATATATATATATATTAATATATAAAATTTGCATAAATCTTACCCGCCAAGCAATAAATTAACATTTCCATTGATCGCATGTGAATAGTTATTACCGCCCACACCATTTAAAAGACCCACACCTCCTGGGCCACTATTACCAGCGGAATTTGCACGTATATTTTGTTGATGAAAAAGACCTAACCCACCACCAGTATAAGGAGTAATAGTATTTCCAGCATTGTTGGTGTTGTTTGAGACAGTGGTATTATTCAAAGCAGCTCTAGCCGTCGCTATTGCTGAAGATAGATTTTGCCATCGTTGATATTGGGAAGATGTTGCTAACGTTCCTGTTGCATTAGTTGAAGTATTTTGATTATTATTTTGATGATTATTATGATAGCTTACTGCAGCAATGATTGCATATCGTTTTAAGGACATTTCGTAGATATCTCAATATATTCACTACTTTTTTTTATGTTTTTTTTTTAAATATTTGTTTTTAGTTATTTTTTATTTTATATCATTGTTTTGAAATTAATTGTGTTAATAGTGTTTTAAATTTGATTTATTAGCTTTTATATGATTTTTTTGATCTTAGCAATGAATTAAAATTTTTTTCTCCATATAACACTTTGTTTGTTGTATAAAAGTATAATTATTAATTATATTATCTTATAAATTATAATTTTTTTAAATAATTTTTAAAAAATAAACTCTTTTATCATATTTCTTTTTTAATTAAATTTAAACACTTTTTTTAATTTAATAATATATATATATATATAGTAAATTTAATTTCATTTTATTTTTATTATTTATTTTTATTTATTATTGTTTTTATTTATTTAACTTATTTTATTTTTTAATTGTTTTTAAATTAAATGATAATTTAAATTTGATCTTTAGCTTTTATAACATTTTTTAATTTTTTACGCACTATTAAATTTTTTTTTTAAATTTTTAAATAATTTTGAAAAAATAAATTTTTTTATCATATTCCTTTTTTAATTAAACTTAAACGCTTTAATAACATTTAATAACATGTTTAATTTTTGTAGTGTAAATATTTATATTTTGTTTTTATTTTTTATTTTTAATATAAGTCTTGTGATATTTACTAAATTCATTTATTATTTATTTATCGTAAATAATTAAAATGTTTAATATATGGTTTTTATATATTAATATATTTTAACTTAAAGTTATGTATTATAAAGTTATATATTAACTGTATTACTACATTTTTAAATTAATATAATTTCGTTAATTCTTGGTAAATTAGTATGTATAATTTTTTATTTAATTTTTAATTAATTTTAACTTTATTATTTTTAGTTTAATTTTAAAATATTATATTATGTGTAATTTATTTGTAATTATTTTAATATATTTAATTTATTTTTGATTTTTAATAATTTTTTAATTTTAATTTACTTATTTCTAATTTGTGTTTTATTTGTAATTTGCTTTTTATTTGTAATTTGTTTTTTATTTGTAATTTGTTTTTTATTTGTAATTTGTTTTTTATTTGTAATTTCTTTTTTAATTGTAATTTGTTTTTTATTTGTTTATTTAAATATATTTCCCTTCCTGTTACATATTTATGTATTTAGTTTACATATCAAGTTTAAACATGTATTAACATTTTAATTTATATGTATATTTCCGTCCCTTTTTATGTATTTTATAAATATATATATATTTATATATTATATATATACTTTTTTTATATATTTATAACGTTTAATATCACTTAATATTTAATTTAAATGCACTTTAAACATTATATTTGATATATTTGAATTACTATAATTAATTAATTATAAACTTATTTTTATATATTTATTATATATAAATGTATTATTTATGCAAATTATTTGTACTTTTTATGATATGGTATATTATTATTATTATATTATTTTTTGTATAGTAATTTTTTTTTAGATTCTTTTATTTATTTATTTTATTGATCAAAAATATTCTATGTATGTGAAATACTCAATATGTTTAATACATATTTTGTATGTAAAATACTCAATATATTTAATGTACAATATGTTATTAATATTTTATTTTGATGAATATATGTATAAATGCATATAAAATACTTATACTTTTTTTGCGAGGGTTATTGTTTTGTTGTTATATTTTATATAATTATTTCATTTATTTTCTAAAGAATTGTTTAATTTTTTATGATTTTTGATTTTACACGATTTATTTTTATTTTATGTGTTATTTTTTAAATATTTTGTAATCGCTCTTATACAAATATTTTGTGTAAGCTTTTGCAAATTTGTTTTATACACATATAATTTTTTATATATATATAAGTAAATTAAATATTTCACTTTTCTTTTAATTGGAATGTACTATGTGTATACGACTAAAACTTGAATTATGTAAGTTTTATTTTTTGTTGATAGTGCTTGTATTTTTTATTTTATATTTTGAGTATAAAAAACTCTTAATTTCTTAATATATATATAAGTGAGTGTATATCAGTTATAAATTTTATATGTTAAAAAATTATGTTCTGTTCTTACATAATATTTAGAAAAAGTTGAATAATTTTTGTTAGTTCTAAATTTTAATTGAACTCAGTTTTATAATACTAACACTCAGCACATGATAAATTTAAATTTGTGGAAATTTTATTTTTATTTATATATTCAATTTAAATATTTAAATTTCAAATTTTTGTGCATTTTCTATATTATTTAAAACTCTTCCTTTCGCTTTGCTTGCTTTAAGTAAACTAACGTAAGGACACGCAGTGCTAACTTCTAGTCACTGAAGTAATATTGTAAATGTGAGGAGCACACCCATTACCCGAACACTGACATATTCACATAAGCGCAGTTCGTTCTGGTGCCTCACAAATCCTTATATGTACTTTAATAAATTACAAACGAACACACTCAAATTAACGCCCGATCAAAGTCGATAAAAGTTGCATGCTATAATTTATCTATTTTTTAAATAACATAGATTCCTGTAATTCATTGATTCACCAACACATACTCATATAACTATATATTGACACCAGCTAGTTTTCTATGCTAGCACTTAGAACTAACTCTGGCTC